TATCCTGGCTGAAACCAGGACAGTGTGGAACATTTGACTCTAAAAAGAATTGTTAATAAATATATGAGTAATTATTCTTTAGTAACTTTAAAGGGAAATATGAAAACCATAATCTCTTTTGAAGATTAGGTAACTACTAGCAATTAATAGTATTTGGATTTTAGATTTGTAAACAAGAACTGTGTAGCTAGCTTCTTTGACTGAAGGATATCTTTACTTTCCGAAAGTAAAATTCCTGCATTGCCAAGTGAAAAATTTTATAAAAGGTAGTTGTGGAAAATGGAACAGAACGTGCATTTACCCAGGTTTGTACAGTGTGTTATTTGTGAAACTAATACTGGACCAAATTTCTGATTTCTGCCTATTTGCTCTGGACCATACGGTTATCCAGTACCCTATGAACTAGGAACTTAAGAATGTATACATATGCGTGCATATATATAGATACACACACACTCTCTTTTTTTTTCTTCCCAGAGTGCCCTTTGAATCCTAAATCTAGATCTCCAAGAATGCTGGTCATTAAAAAGGGCAGTACAAAAGAACTGCAGATATCTGGATTTCCTGTAGTAGGAAGTCTTCATTCACAGCCAGTAAAGAATGGAGCTGGCACAAGTGTTTATAAAGGATTAGTCCCTAAACCTGCTACTTCACCTGCAAAGGTGAGTCTTGGATACTGGTGGTATGAATAACATGCTGAAAAAAATCATGCTCTAATTCTGAATGTGCTTATTTCACCCCTGAGAGTACTGTTCCTAGAGTGTTGTGCTTTCAAATCTTGCTAAGTGCAGAACACCCCAAAAGTGAATGGAAGCACTTTTTTTTTTTCTTTTTAAACTATACTGTAATTGGATCTCGCTTTGTTTCTCATTTACCTTTTTTGAGAAATGCAAGAGCTGTCCAAGGGAGAATGAAAAGGCTGTTTTTAACTTACAGAATAGCAATGCCTTTTGTATATATGCTTTTAACAGAAAAATGGATACCTAGTGGAGAGCTGTAGATGGCATAAAAGTATCTCCAGAATTTATCCCAGTTATTGATATAGATGTGCTTAGTGTCATTCTGGTCCCTCTCCATATGCAACTTTCCATGTTCATCTTTTTATTTTGTTTCAGGAATTTTTCTGTGCTCCTGAGAGCGTCTGATGGAGCTGTTCTTAACTCTCTTAACATACTACATTAAAAACACTACTTTCAGCTGTTGAAGACTCATGTTTTGATTATTAATATCTCAAATATGAGGGTCTTAATTGTTTGTAAATTTAACTATATAAAAAGTGTAAACAGTATTTGTGAGAAAGGATGAATTGCTCATAAACGGTCTCTTTTCCACAATAAAGCAGGTATTTGCTCTAAATTATGGTCGTAGTTATGATTTGCTTTTGCTTAATCATTTTTCTAAATATTCCTGAAAATAATCCTATTGTAGTTAACAACTATCTAAAGTTTTGTTTAAATTTTTGTTTAGCCTACACAGTGGAAAAGCCAAGCAAAAGAAAATAAACTTGTGAATCCTTTTTCTCATGAATCTGCATATGGCATTGGCAATTTCAGTCCTTTCAAATCAACTGCAAAGGCATTTACTGTTTCACAGAATTCAGTGAAAGAGGTAAAGCAATGTCTGTAGTTTTTATCAAATCTATCAAATTTTAAATTTTTTTGGTTGGATAACTGCATCAGTAAGTTTTATGCAGAACTGTATTAAGTTTATTTTTGTAGAAGTTGGTGTGGGAGAGAGAAATACGGAAGGTACATCACTGGTCTTTAAGTACTGCAATATTTGCTTTGTAAGTTTGATTTGGAGTAAAAATGGTGCATTAGCAAGTATAACCTGGTAGGTTTAAACTTCAAAACTGCTAATAGTGTGATACACTTCAGAAGGTCCACTGATTGTTAGCAGGGCTCCATAAACCTTCATCTCTGGGGTTACATGTTAAAACATATATACTGAAATACGAATATCTTCCCTCTGCTTTTTACTGTGGATATACATGAAACCTGAAACTACATGTGCCTGTGTCTTTGTCTTTCATTCAAAGTTTTCTAAATGAATAAACTTCTAATATTCTTTCTTTTCTCTGACCCCTCCTACATTAGTGTAGTCGGTCAAATTCATCATCCCCTATTGACAAAGTTGGTCAGCCTCGTTTAACAAAATTGACGAGAATGCGGACTGATAAGAAGAGTGACTTTTTGAAAGCACTGAAACAAGGCAGAGTGGAAGAGGAACGTGAAGACAAGAATCATGCTGGCCAAGAGAAGGTAGTTTTCTTCATACCTATTGTAGATCCAGCAGTAACATTTCTCAGACTGAATATAAACTACTTTTTATTTGGCTATAAACAGCTGTTAAGTCATGGTCTTGATCTCTAAATGAAGGAATGGAATTACCTTTTAATAAATTCAGAAAAGTTGCTCCAAGTACTACTTTCTCCAGTGCTGCTTAGTAGTTTCTTTTTTCTTTCTGCACTATCTGTTCTTACATGTTAGAGACAGATGTGCCTGAGTTATTAGCAGCAATAAAAAGAATAAATAAGCTTATGTCCTGGTTTCAGCCAGGATAGAGC